GCACTCTGGGGAGGATGGCATGGGTGACATGTGTAGCTGGCCGGGTGTGCTCTGAGGAGGATGGCAGCTGGTGACATGTGCAACTGGCCAGGTGCAGTCCGGGGCGCTGGGGTATCTTGTGCACCTTGATGAAGTGTCATGAAAAAGATGTTGTAAATTGGACTTGGTGTTATCACAGGAGCTTTAAGATCACAGTGTTGGTAGATCTAGGATGGTAATCTTCAAAATGTACTCCCCAACCCACTGCAGCGATCCTTTCTCTTGGCATCTCACTTTGTGACTTAGAATGCAGGGCACCCAGGACCGAAGCCTCTCCATGGTTCAACAGCTGTTAGGAGACCTTGTCTAGTTGATGAGAAAGTCACTTGTGGTGCCTTTCCATCCAGGGTGTGCAACTCTGCTCTTGAGACCCCGGGAAGTCTCGCTTCCCACACTCTGGCTCATCCATTAACTGCTTGGAACTGACTACCCACGTCTTCTTTCAGGATAAAGCCTTAAGTCCTGCCATTGTTCCTTGTGTGATACGTTTCAAATCCTTTCCTCGTTCCTGCAAAGCTCCTCGAACATGCTCTGGTGTGCCAGGCTCTGCATGTGTGAGCTGGGAGCTAGCAGCACACACGTTCCTGTTAGGGTGCCCACATGATCCTGATGGCACATGTGACCAGTGTGGAGCCCCAGGTGTTTCCAGCAGGGCACATGTTCCTGTTAGGGCACCCACGTGATCCTGATGACACATGAGACCCCTGTGGAGCCCCGGGTGTTTCCAAGGGAACCACTGTCGGCCGGATCACTGGTGCTCTGCAGCTGCGCCCCGGTCCCCAAACCACCCTTGTGCTGCTGCTCAGTGTCATCATTTGCCTTTTTAGCCGCTGTCGCTGCGTGTCGAGGCCTCCTTGGGAGTCCCGATTTTCAGCCCATATCATGCTCTTGGCTCCAGCTTGCCATCACTTTTGCATCTCAAACCTCACTGGCCTCAAGTCCAACTCTAAGCCAATGATTCCTGGTCAGGGGGAGCCATCCCTGCTGAGCCCTGTGGCCAGGCTAACCCATGACCGAAGGCTCCTGAACCCTCCTTCAGGTCAGCTGTCTGCACGTCAGCACATGGCCACCAGCCCAGGATGCACGTGTGGTTTCCCAGAGTCTTAGCAGCATGCGTGTTGTGGTGAGGGGACTGTGCAGGGACCAGTAAGATGAGGAGCTTGTGCTCGGCTCTGCACTGTGCCGTGTCAAACTGAGTGGCAGGCCACATTGCCTGGCTTGATCCCACTCTGCCACAGGCAAACCCTTCCACCGCTCTGAGTGTCCTCGTGGGTAAAGGGACTAGCGGCTGCACTCCCCTCTCAAGGTGCTGTGAGGATGACATGGCAGGACAAGGGCAGACATTTTGGCACATGCACTTTACAGAGTTGAGGCTAAGCCAGCACCAGCCGCTGCCACCACCCACTTCCTAAGGCTGTTACCAAGACCAGTGGCTGGAAGGAATCTCGCTCACCCACAACCCCAGCGCACTGAGCCTCGCTCCGCCCCTGTGCCTCATCCCGCCTCCTCCTGGCTCACAGGCACGCTCGCTTATTCAGTCCACAGCACTAGCAAGCTCAAAGTGTGTTCCTTCTGGCACTGCTGCCTCCTCACCTGAGCACCCGCGGCTCACCTGAGCGGCCACTCACCTGGGCACCTGCAGCTCTCCTGGGCACCCATGGCTCACCTGGGCGGCCACTCACCTGGGCACCCGCAGCTCACCTGGGCGGCCACAGTAGCCTCCCAATGGCTTGCCCCCTCCCAGTCACTGACCAGTCATGACAGTGCAGCCCTGTTGCCCCCACAAGGGCAGGCTTAATGTTTCACTTGCAGCCCTGTGGCTCTGGGTGGTGACCCTGCTGCCCACTCCGTGCCCTGCTACCCTGCAGGTGCCCTCTCTACTTTCCCAGCCCCCAATTCCTCCTGGTGTTCCCTGACATCTGCTCTCCTGGTGCCCAGAGCATCCACTTAAAGCTGCCCTTCCCCACTGACCCATGAGTGGCCTAAGGGTGCAGTGCTGGTCACCTGGACGACGCTGTGCCCCAGCCTCCCAGACGGCTGGGCACATGGGGTCCTGCTGCCATCTCTGCACGCAACACCGAAAGGACGGCATTGACATGCGTGGAAGGGCCCCGTCAGTCACTGACACGCGCGGTCGGTCCCTCTCGGGCACTGCTACACGCGGTCGGTCCCTGTCGGGCACTGACACACACGGTCGGTCCCTCTCGGGCACTGCCACGCGCGGTCGGTCCCTCTCGGGCACTGCCACGCGCGGTCGGTCCCTGTCAGCCACGACTCCTGGCCCGGCCCTTGCGGGCTTCTCAAGGTGCTCATGCTCTCAGTTTCCTGAGCTGCCCTCACTCTTGCTGGGTGGAGGGACTCCAGGAACCTGCGATTGCTGCACACCTTCCTCCCTTTCTTTTTGAAGTTCATTCCCATGTACTACCTGCAGGCTTGCTCTCATGAGATGTATGTACGGAATGTTCCAGAATGCCTTCAATCATTTCAGCCTTAAAGCCCCCACCACTGCATGCGCAGCCTCTTGTCTAATGCAGGGGCAGCTTGGCAAGGTCTGACTGCTGTCCCTGTTTTTCCAGACACCCTGATGGGGGTGGGGGGACCCAGGCCTCAGCGTCCGCCACAGCTCTGCCCCTGTACCAGCCTCACTGGGGGCAGCTCACATGGCAAGAGTGGCCTGGGTGAGTCTCACTGCCTCGGGTACAGAGCACCCTGAGAACATTGCTGCAGGGGAATGAGTCACCAGGTCAGAGGGCACAGAAGATTCCGGAAGGATATCAGGGAGGTGATGTCTTATGAGAGGCACGTTTATAGGTTTATAGCAAATAGAGGGAGTGCTGTTGGCGGCACTGCAAAGGCCCTGAGCTGCTTTCCCGGGAACCAGGGACCATGGCTCACACAGAGGCTAAGCATGACATGGGGAGATGTCCCCCGACCTGTCCTGTACCCCGCACCTCAGCTCCCATCCCCATTCTTGGCCAGGAGCAGGAGCGTGCTGTCCCCACCCCAGAGGTGGCCTCATTAGCACCCGTCACTGCCTCAACTCAAAGGCCTTGTGGTGGCTGGAACCCGCCCAGGGACATGTGGGGCCTGGTGGGGAGTGTCCCGTGCTGCCCCCACCCAGACCCTACACTGCCCTGGACCAGAGCCGAGCTGCCCAGCTGCCCCTGGGCCAGGGCCCCAACGCCCATACAGACTTGGATGAGACTGTAGGAGCTTCCAAGGGGACAGAGGGCCTGCTCTGAGCCCAGGGAGGGGGCAGGCACTGTATGAGGACACCATGCCAAGGTGGGGCAGAGCCAGGATGCACCTCCCGCCCCATTTCTGGGCACCTGAACTGTCCCTGGGTACACAGAGGCTGTCAGGCAGGAAGGGCTCAAATGCCAGGCAAGGAGCGGTACCCTGTGCTGTCCAGACGGGCAGGCCCTGCCTGGGTCGTGGGGTTGCAGGTGCAGAGCAGCACTAGGTGTGGCTCTTGGTTGACCCCAGCCCACGTCACCTGTCCAGCAGGTGCATATGGCAGGCACAGTGGCCAATGATGGAGAGCTGGGGCTCATGCTGGGGCCTTACCGGGAAGGACTGGAAGAGCTGGAAGGAGCCCAGGAGCCGGATGTAGAGGTGTGAGTGCACTTTGGTGGAGGTGCCGTTGAAGGTGTTGGCCACCACCAGGAACGAGTAGGGCCCCACACTGAAGAACTCCCAGTCGTAGGCACCAGAGGTGGCGATGGTCTGGTTGGCCTCGAAGAGCCGGGTTGCTGGGTTCCACTTGTAGATGACACTGTCAATGTTGTGGTTGTCGCCTGGAACCGAGGGGCTGCGCTGGGGGTGGGAGGCAAACTCCACGGCCCCGTGGTGGCCCTGACAGAGCCAGAGCTCCAGGGCCCTGCCCAAAGACTGAAGACTCGCAAGGGCAAGGCCAGCCGCTGGGGACGCCCCTTCTCTCCCTCAGCCAGCCCCTTGCCGGCCCCACCTGCAGGCCTCCACAGGTGCCATTCCCATGTGGAGTAAAGGCCACACCTGCCCTACCTTCCCGGTGGTTGGCCACCGCCAGGAAGTGCTCCCCGTCCACCTCGAAGGCCTCCCAGTCTCGGGCGCTGTGTGTGGCAATGCTCTGGTACGGGGTGAACTTCAGCTTTCTGTGGCTCCATTTGTAAATGACAGAGAACTCCTGACCCTTTTCATCTGGTTCAAAATTAGCCACTGCCAGGAAGATCTGAAAGAGAGTAAGCCAGGACCACGTGAGCCTGCTTGGAGCGGGGGCAGGGGCCTGGGGCCGAAGGCTCCCAAACATCATCCTGTCTCTCCAGACCCTCGGCTGCTACATGGCGCAGGGGAAGAGGACCGAGGCCCCACATCACAGGTCATCATGGTGGGGTGGGCGCAGCCGGCCACCACCTTCAAGGCCCTTGAAAACGTCTGTCCTTTACCCAACATTTCCACTTCTATTGCTTTCTGAAGGCAAAAAATCACAAAAGCCAAAATCCCCAAATTCAGGAAACGCTTTATGCACAAAAATGTTTTTCCTAACCCAGATGACTGGAAAAAATCATTACAGCCTGCTCCCCCGTGGTAAGGGTGTGATCGCCACGCAGAGCTGTGTCACGACAAGGTGTGGAAAATAGGAACAGGGTGCAGTGTGCCCGGCCTCACGGTGCAGTTGCGTGAACACGTGGAATGGGGGGCAGGTGCCCAGGTCACAGGCGACATGCTTGGAGGCGAGGGTGCCACATGAACCTGCATGCTTGCTTGGGTTGGGGGATAGAATATTTTCCCCTTTGCTTTTCTGAATTTTCCAATTTTTCCTTGATGCAAAGTTATTTTTTTATAATAAAAAATTAAAACCTTATGATATCATCAATCAGAAAAAAAAAAAAAAAGGAGCTAGTTATCCACCCGCCATGCTGGACGCCGATGCAGCTGGGAGGAGGGTGGCCATAAGTCACAGGAGAGCAAGGTTTCCATCTGCGGTGCTCACTGCTTTAGCCCTGTGTCCAGGCGGGGTCTGGTGGGTGTGCTTGGCACAGTGTGGTCAGGTGAGTGACTATTTGGGGGCAGTCGGGAGGTGCTGTCTCCAGGGCACTGCTGTGTGGAGTCCAGGGAGTGGACAGAGCTGGGGAGAGGAAGCCCCTGTGATGTCAACCATCTCTCAGACCCGCCACGTCTGCCCAGAGCAGCCCGGAACGGAAGGCGGCTGCCTGTGTGGGAGGCATCACCCACGGCTCCCGAGCCTGGCCTCAGCCTTCCGTGTGGACATCACGTGTCCTCAACATTTGAGGACAGGAAGGATCAGGAATATCCGTCTTGTAATTTCATTCTGAAATGATTTCTGGTTCTTGACCAGCTCATGTAAATACTCTCAGCAGGTTTTAAGTGCAGCAATTCGGGTTCTATGTAGAACTGGATGGTATTTGGGAGATGGCCTGGCCTTCCATTCCAACTGCCTAAAGTCACACCCTGGATTTCGGGTGGTAGGCTAACGTGCGCGACTCTGTGAGCCTTCTAGCACCTGAACGAGGGGTTGACACCATGAGAAACTCCTTTGCCTTCAGAATCAGTGCAGGGAGCCCCGCCCGTGGACTTTCCAGGTTATAGGGGCTGGAGACAGTCACGGAACACAGACTTGCCTTTTTCCCGATGGTGAAATGCCTCCAGGCCTGTGCTTGGTGTGTGGGGATGCTCTGATACGAGATGAACTTCCCTTCGGTCCACTTGTACACAGCGGACGTGGCTTTGCGATTGGCTGTGGCCACAAAGAGCCCCACCTGGGGGATGCGGAAGACCTCGATGCCCAGGGTCTCGGAGCTGGTGAGCAACTTCTGATGCTCCTCCACGTAGTCCAGCCTTTCTTTGGCTTATGATAGAAGTATTGTGACTCGGTTAAGGTTTCCGAGAATGGGCACCCGGAGCAATCCTCATGGGAGCACGATCCCCAAGCCCCAAGCCCCAAGCCTCAACTCCCGTGCCTCAGCCTTGGCATCAGTTTCCACATTGTACCCTCACAGGAAAGGCCATCACAGGGAGGCCCTCGCATCTCATCTCTGATCTAGCGGCCAGGGAGGGTGTGGGCAGAGGTGGCGGCCAGGCTACCCTACCAGAAGGCTGTAGGGATGCAGGCATCGTCTTCCCATAGTTTGGGAAGGGGTACTGAGTGATGCCCAGCCCTGCCAGCCTGTGCCATGCCCTGGAGGGTCACATTTCCAAATGGGGTGGCTTATTCTCCTGAGTCGCGCCTGTCCCAAGGAGGGCCTATGGCTGAGGGTCCTGCAGCTGTGGGTGGGACAGTGTCCTGGCTTGCTGGCCATCCTGGCCGCCACTTGCTTTGGGGGTCAGGACTGACACTGCCCCAGCCTGGCGGCCGAGCCACAGGTCATTTGCAGGTGGCTGAGGCGCCACCTTTCCTAGCTGCGGCTCCCAGTTGTGCCGTGCCAGAGCGGCCCTGCCTCACCTGCTAACACAGACACCCACTCGTTGCCGACACACAGGTACAGCCCCTTCCGGCCAGCATCAAACCAGAACTGGGTGTCTTCCACTTTGGTACACGGTGGCCGGGGTCCCAGTGTCACTCGAATGTTGGTTTCTGCAGGGAAGACCAGGAAGATGAGCATCAGGCAGGCCGGTACCCCCGAGGAAGATGACGCGGGAGGATGGCCAAACCAGGCTGCCTGCCTCTGCCTCTGCATGCGAGCTGGGAAGGGCCCCCGCAGGCATCTTGGCGCAGGTGTGCCACACCACAGGTGGGGAATGAGAACCTGGCCTACCGGTGACGAAGGACATTACGATGCCCCCTATATGGTCAGTCCACCCTCTGTCCACTCTGAAAGGCATGGCTTTCCATCCTATTGAGACAGAAAAGCCCACTCCTCTGGTGTGAGGCCAGGGCTCTCATGTCTGCCCTTGGTGTGGGGGCGGGCGGCCCCCCTACTAAGCATAGGGATATTTTAGCACCGCATTATGGGACTGCACGCAGTGCTGGCCCACCTCGGGAGCAAGTCCCTATTAACACTGGGGTATCTTAACCTCGGCTTGGCGTGGATCTGCGACAGTTTGATCTCATCACTGCCAGTAGTCACACCCTACTGTGGGTCCTAATTCTGCTACCTCTTGACTTTCCGTGGGACCTCTGTGCATCTACCGGCCTGTGCTGACCAGCTGCGTGACACGGTGACACGGTATCCTGTGTGGGGATATGTGGGAGGTGGGGGCTCCCCCACCTCGTAACCACTGACCCTGAGGCTCAGGGGCTTGGCTGTCCTCTACCTCACTGTCCCTCGGGGTGGCCACAGAGCAGTGGGGGATGCGGCGGGGAGGGGCGCTTCAGATTCTCCATGGCAGGGGTGTGGTTTAAATAAACACAGCCTTGTAACTTCGCACAAGAGAAAGCCAAGCCGGGAGACCCCCTGGGCCAGGGTGGGCCCAACTGGGGTGGGCTGGTCTGGATGACTGTGGGACAGAGGCAGGGCTGGGGGTGGAGCAGAAATGGCCCAAATGCTGTTATGGGGGGCAAAAAGGGATGAGGGACGTCAGATAGCTCTGGACAGAGTTTCTAAAGTAAGTTAGGCCTGCTGTCTGCCTATGGTGCCCAGGAAGAGGCTGAGCAGCTGTCGTGGGAGTGCCCGGAGGGAAGAGCAGATGACACTGGCCTGTCTAATGGTGCCGCCTGCCTTCCTGGGCATGGGCCCCGAGCATCGTCCCCTTGGCCAGTGTGACCTCTGCCCCCCCGGCAGCAAAGAGAGGGGCAAGCACAAGGGAGAAGCTGAGAACTGAGCCCCAAGTTCCTGCCTGGTGGGAGGCCAGGGCTCTCACGTCGCCTTTGCTGTGGGGGCAGGTGGTCCCCCTACTAACCATAGGGATATTTTAGCACCTCATTATCTTCCGGCTTCCCCGTGAGAGCCTGTAGGACCCATGGGATGGACAGCACAGCCAGCGGGGCATTCCTGCTGGGACACAGCCTTGGGGTGGCGTCTGAGCCCGGCAGCAGGACCAGCTGCCTCACCAGGCCCTGCAGAGAGAGGGACAGCTCCTTCAGGCCCACGCTGCTGAGGAAGGACCTGCTGGGGAGGGGAATACCGGGCTTGGCCCATCCAGACCCTGGAGGAGGGTGGGGTGGATGGAATCTAACCTTTTGCAGAGCTAAGTGGGAAGAGTCTACGTGATGGTTACTGGGGAGGCCATGGGAGGAATGGTGAAGAGTTGCCCACTTTCCCAGGGAACTGAACCACAGAAGGGGCTTTTTTGTGTGAACTTAGAGTGACTGGCAACTCTGCTCATCCATTAGCCCATCCACCCATTTGTTCATCCATGCATCCATTTATCCATCCACCCATTCATCCATCACTCATCCATCCACCCCTCCATCCCTCCATCCACCCATCCACCCATTCATCCATCACTCATCCATCCATCCCTCCATCTATCATCCATCCATTCCTCCAGCCCTCCATCCATCCGTCCACCCATTTTTCCATCACCCATCCATGCATCCCTCCACCCACCCATCCATCCATCCACCCATTCGTCCATCACTCATTCATCAATTGCTCCATCCCACCATCCATCCATCCACCCATTCATCCACCACCCATCCATCCATCTCTCCATCCACCCATCCATCCATCCACCCATTCATCCATCA